GCACAGTATGATAGAGACAATACTGGACCAGGTTTGGTTTTTTTTTTTTATAGCCAGGATTCTAGTCCTACCTTTGCCATTCAAGAACTGGGATCTTAGGCAATCTGGGCTTAGGTTTCTCTGCTGTCAAATAAGAGACTTTGAGGATCTGTAATGATTTTTCCAGTTCTAAAATCTTATGCCAATATGATTTTTATCATGTATTTGCAGGCCTACCTTAGATATCTTTGCAAGTTCTTTATGTGAAACTTTCATGTTATTTATCATGAATAAATTCACTATTCTTTTTTTTTCTTTTAAAGATTTTATTTATTTATTCATAAGAGACACAGAGAAAGAGGCAGAGACATAGGCAGAGGGAGAAGCAGGCTCCATGCAGGGAGCCCGATGTGGGAACCCATCCCAGGATCCCGGGATCACGACCTGATCCAAAGGCAGATGCTCAACCACTGAGCCACCCAGGTGCCCCAATTCACTATTGTATAAAACAAAACTAAAACAACAACAAAAAAAACACCCAAACACAAAACCAGAAAAATCCAAATCCAAAAACCAAATCTTCAGTCCTGTGTTTCAACAGATTTGAGCTTAGATTGAATTCTGAACCCTGAATTCTGAGTTCTCTCCCCGACTGCAATAGCCTTAAACAAGGTCTTCCTTATCTACTAAGGAAAAAAAAAAGGGCTAATGATTTCCAACTCTCTATGCCCCAGGAGACACTGTCAGGTTAAAAAAAAAAGAATTTGAATTTTTTGGAGCTAGTTATCTAGCAGGAGGAAATCATTATGTATTCTTAATATTTGATATGATTTATACAAAGATTTTGTGAGTTCAATCCATGTGTGTATCTGAGCAGTACTGGGCAAACTGACATAATCTTCATTCTTTGCTGATTAAACTTACGGGAGGATTCCCAGGATCCATTATTCTATGTTCTACACAAGTTACTTCCCCCTCTTAGTTTCCTCATCTGTAAAATGGGTGTATTGATTATACTTATCTCATATGGCCAAGTAAGACAATGCACAGGAAGTATATTGTCAAGTAGGTATTTTACTACCAAGAGCAAATGAATTTTAGTTCCAAACGTGTTAAAAATGAAGTTTACTGTCCATTTACTTAAAACTCATCATCGTGTGAGGAAGAGATCCCTGAGGTAGGAGCTCTAGTTTACAGTGAGGACTAGGCTTAATCTCCCCAGGTTTCTGTTTCTTTGTTTTATAACAAAGGAGCTGGACTAGGCATGCCTGGGTGGCTCAGTCGGTTGGGTGGCTGACTTTGGCTTGGGTCATGATTTCGAGATCCTGGGATCAAGCCCCATGTTGGGCTCCCCACTTAGCAGGGAGTCTGCTTCTTCCTCTCCCTCTGCTCCTCGCCCTGCTCAGACTCTCTCTCTTCCTCTCTCATAAATGGATTTTATTCATTTAAAAAGTCACTTATTAAAAAAAAAAAAGGAAGCTGGATTAGAGGACCTTTAAGTAACTTCCAGTTCTAAAGGGATTCAGGAAATTTTTTCAATTCATTTTTAAACAAAGTTTTAATAAAATTTAACATAGCAAGCATTATATGCTTTAGCAATTTATATTTTAATTAAATGTCCTTCAGATTAAAATAGTATTATGCAGTTTCTAAATACAGAAGGTTATGGAAAGTGATAAAACTTGATTCATTTTAAAAAGTAGATTTGGAAATGCTGTGGGAAATTCAATTATATTTAAAGGTGCAAAAACAAGATTGAAATCGCTGCTAAAAATAAGGAAATTTACTTTGGATGCCCATTGTTTCTGGAAGAAGGGTGTTTTTATGCCCATGGGGCTCTGACGTATTAGGTGGAGGCCAAAGCAGAGAACAGGCCTCTCCTTTTTGGAACATTTCATCTAACTGAAGTGGAATGAATATAGCAACAATATACATCTAAATAAAACATAGTCCCTGAATTCGATATGCATCTCATTTGCAGTAAGAAGACTTTTGTGGCAGGGCTCCTGGGTGGCTCAGTGGGTTAAGCATCTGCCTTTGGCTCAGGTTGTGATCCCCAAGTGCTCCAGGTTCCAGCCCCACATCGGGCTCCCAGCTCAGCGGGGAGTCTGCTTTTCCTTCTGCTCCTGACCCTGCTTGTGCTCTCTCTCTCTCTCAAATAAATGAATTAAAAAAAAAAAAAAAGACTTTCATGGCAATCCAGGCCATGATGGAAACACCTTGTGACATAGAATTGGATCCATATTCCGGTTCCTTTCCTTACTAAGTATGTGACCTTGGGAAAGTTTGTAACTCATTTGTGCCTCAGTTTCTTAAAAAATGGGACGAATCTTAGAAGTGTCAATATAAATGAGATAATACATGTAAGGCTCTAAGAAAAATGCCTGACACACAGAAAAAGCTCAGTGAACATTAGCTATTATTATTTGATTTCATAAATTACTACTAGATGTCTGTTATGGAGTAGTCACTGTATCAGACCCTGAAATATCTTTGGGGGTTCAGCTTTTTGGGTCTGGTCTACGATGTGTTAAAGAGTTAGATAAGAAATTCCAAAAATTTAACAGTCCAATGGGACACAAGTAAATCTAGATAAAAGGCCCTTTGGAGTCAAGAGACTGTATTTTTTATTTATTTTTAAAATTTAATTAAAAAAAAGATTTTATTTATTTGAGAGAGAGAGGGAGAGCGAGAGAGAGCGTGAACTGTGAGAGAGGCAGATGGAGATGAAGAAGCAAATTCCCAGCTGAGCAGGGAGCCTGATGCAGGGCTTGATCCTGGGACACTTGGGGATCATGGCCTGAGCTGAAAGCAGATGCTCCACCGACTGAGCCACCAGGCGCCCTGAGAGTCAAAAGACTTTAAATTCAGGAAAGAAAAGGAGATGTCAAGGAGTTGCTTGAGGTCTTGCCTTGCAGTTGTCGAGTTCCTGTGCAGGTTTTAGAGGGCACGTAATGATGCATATATTAAAAACTACGGTGACATTCAGAGAGTCAGACATGCCCAATTAGACTTTCATGTTCTGTATTTATAAAGACGTGAGTGGTGCGTTTCCTGGGTGCAAATGATTGTTGGCTATGACTAATATTTATGACTATAATAAAATCTATACAGCATAAAGTACGCAATGAATTTGTTCTAGTCATCGGCTTACTTTTATTTAAGGGGATACCCTAGAAGGTGCTATATCTTGACCAGCAATTTCAGCAGATAGGGAGGAAGCAAAATATAGGACAGGACAATTGTACTTTAGCACCAGGGCACAAAATGAGAAGTAGAATTATGGCAGTAAGGCACTCTGTTATATAAATTTATCATGGAAATGGCATAGGAACATATGCCTTTTGCAAACAACACTGTGTTGCTTTGTCTTGCTTCCAAGCCAGGCCCCTATAACAATCAATGGCGTTCGGTTGGGAGCTGCCTTGGGTGGACGTGTCCACAGGGCATCAAAAGCAGGCTTAAGGTAATGAATGCAACATTCTTTCCTCCTCCTCAGGTGAGCCCACCATTTGGTCTCAGTTGATCTCATGTTGGACTGGTGTTGGCACCAGTTCATTTAGTTGCTTCTGGTGACTTTGGGATAACGTGAAGCCATGGAAATCATTTTTCCTGTACCACCCTACCTTCCAGGTTTCAGCAGAAACCTAAGGCAGAGACTTCTGGGACTCCTTCATTTGCACATCCCGCAAGACAAAAGCTCTTGATGGAAAGGAGAAAAGCCAGTGGGTCTCTTCTTACCAATAGGCAAATTGCAGCATTTAGGAAGGTAGGAAGAATAGGACTGCAAATAACTTGGAAGTTCATCTTGTCCATAACCAGTTACCGAAGGTTTATTTTATTTTAAATATTTTATTTATTATTTATTCATGAGAAACACACACACACACACACACACACACACACACGCAAAGACACAGGCAGAGGGAGAAGCAGGCTCCATGCAGGGAGCCCAGCGTGGGACTCGATCCCAGGACTCCAGGATCAGGCCCCTGGGCCAAAGGCAGGTACCAAACCGCTGAGCCACCCAGGGATCCCCTACAGAAGGTTTAATTAAGAAAAATAAAAAAGGTTGAGGATTCTCTTGCCCTTAATATTCCTTTCTTGGCCTGCTCCATATCCACAGGCTGATGGCTCCTTAATATTAAAACCATTCCCAGGGCAGCCCTGGTGGCTCCGCAGTTTAGCGCCGCCTTCAGCCCAGGGCGTGCCCCGGGGTCGCGGGATGGAGTCCCAGGTCGGGCTCCCTGCATGGAGCCTGCTTGTCCCTCTGCCTGTGTCTCTGCCTCTCTCTCTCTCTCTGTGTGTGTCTCTCATGAATAAGTAAACAAAATCTTAAAATAAATAAATAACACCATTCCCAAAGGCATTCCCCGGGCCCCGTTACACAAGCCACAGATCCCCCGCTGAAAAGGAGCAAGAAGCTCCCGCGATGCTCCCCCGCTCGGGGTACAGTGTGGATCGTCCAGGGAACAGGGAACTCTCAGAATGAGTGATTCTGAGACCCCAGGACCCCAGGACCCCAGGACTTGGGCCTTCCCGGGAGAACCTAAACACGCGGCAGTAAACACCGCCCCTCCCCCGGCCCCGAAAGAAAAAACCAAACGTCGGGGGCGCTGCGGCGTGAGCGTCCACACAGGCGGGGCTGAGCCGGGGCGCGGGCGCGGGCGCGGGGCGCGGGGCGCGGGCTGCAGGTCGGGGGGACTTTCACCTGCTCCGCGGGCGGGCGGGCGGGCGGACGGCGCGGGGGCGGGGCCAGGGGCGGGCGGTGGGCGGGGCCTGGGCCCAGTGGGCGGAGCCTGCCCGGGCCCGCCCCGCGGGAGGAGCGGCTCGCCGGCGGCCGATCCGGCGTCTCGGTGACAGGCGCCCCGCTCCGCCGCCGCCGCCGCCTTCGCCTTCGCCTTCGCCTTTTCTTCCTCGTCCGGGGCAGCCGCCGCGCCGGGTCCCCTTCGGGCCGCGCGCCCCCCGCTCCCCTCCCCCGGGCCGCCGCCGCCGCCGCCGCCCGCCCGCTCCCGCCGCCGCCCTCCTCGCCCGCAGCAATCGCGCGGCCACAGCGCCGCCCGCAGCCCCCGCCGGCCCTCGGCTCCCGGCTCCCGGCCCTCGGCTCCCGGCTCCCGGCTCCCGGCTCCCGCGCCCCTCCCTCCCCGGGCCGCCAGCCCCTTCCCGCCGCCGCGCCTGGAGGAGCCGGTCCCCGCGGGTCACCATGCCCAGCAAAACCAAGTACAACCTTGTGGACGACGGGCACGACCTGCGGATCCCCCTGCACAACGAGGACGCCTTCCAGCACGGCATCTGCTTCGAAGCCAAGGTGAGGCCCCCCACCCCGGGGGCAGGGGGCAGGGGGCAGGGGGCAGGTGACTCCCCCGTCGGGGCCGCATCCCGCGGGCTGCCGCCCGGTGCTGCCCCGGAGCAGCTGCGAAGTTTGGGCGGCATCGCCTCACCGCCCCCCCCACCTGCAGACACCCCCAGCCTCACCTCCGGGTCCGCCCGGCTTCCCGATGCTTCCTCCGGGGCCGGAGAAGCCGCGGGGGGGGGGGGCACGCGCAGCGGGTCCCCGGGATCTTTAGAATCGCTTTAGGGGACGCTCTGGTGCTATTTACCTGCTGGGATCCCGTGGGAGACGTGCTTTCACGTTTCTTTTTCTTTCTTTCTTTCTTTTTTTTTTTTTTAAGGGGGAATGCCGACTTCCTGATGGAAGGAAAAATAACACAGGGGTGTTTCTGTTTTTGTTTTAGATTTCCAGGTACCGGGTCCAGGTGTCAAGTCACTTCTTAAATGTCTGATTGGCCACGACTCCTTTGCAAGTGCCAGTCGTGGGAGGGGGTGGGGGGAGGGGGAGAGCCGCCCGTTTGCTAGTTTGGTGGCGTAATGTGAAGTTTCAGCGGCTGGCAGGGAACGGCTGCTGGAGAATTCAGCGGGGATGACTGGAATTTTCGGCGCGGGGGCAGAGCCCCAGGTCGGCCCTTGGCGGGGGGGCGCGGCGCCAGGCTCGGGCTGGCCCGGTGCGCGCCCGGGCTGCCCCCCCGCCCCCCCAGGGATGCGCTTCCCGGCTTCTGCAATCCCAGCCGGGGCTCCCCCGGCCCATCACCTGCGGAAAGTGCTTCTGCGCTTCCTTCTTGCCACCTGACCCCAAAGACCCGGAGTTTCTCAACACCTGCAGTGTGCATGTCGCTGATAAGTGACAGAAGGCATTGCCACTCAGTGTGGGCTGTTTGTTTTTTAGGTTCTTGCTGGTTTTGAAAAGAGCGTACTTAAGGTGTGGAGACCCATTTTACTCCTCCTCCTTCCCTTTATTCCTTCATGACTTCCTGGCTGCAGGGTGTCCTCTCAGGCCAGGATGATTCCGTCAGGTGGCTATTTCCTTCAGTTTGTGAAACGTCTTTCCGATGCCTGATATGGGCCCAGCGCAGTAATCTTTAGATTTAGATATTTTTTTCTTTTCGTGAAGGTGTGTGAATTGGTGAATCTTGACCTCTGCCCCTGGTTAACCTTCCCCCAACCATATCTGCTAGAGCTAGGACACCCCCTGCCCCCCCACCGCCACAGCCACCCCACCCCAACCCTGCAGTGGAATGCAGGGCCGAATTACTTGGGTATGGCTGGGACCAGAGTGGGGCTGTAGCCAAGATCTTATCTTGCTTCTCTCAGAATAGATCTGGTCTCGGTCTAAGACGGGATGTTTGGGTTAAATTTTGTCCAGGTCTGTTGCTTTGATGAGCAAGTTTTTCACTTTAAAGTATGGGTTTTCATCATGATCAGGATTGTTGGGTAGACATAAACTGGGGAACTGGCATTGCCTTGTTTGGTTCACCAGCACTCAGTTTCACGAGAATGAGGGCGAGAAGAGGGATCAAGAATTAAAGTGCTTTAAAACCTTTTTATTCTTTTTTTTTTTTAAGCCTTTTTATTCTTTTGGCACAGTCTTTGCCATTTGGTCCCAACTAGGTCTCAAAACTTGGTATGCACAAGAATCCAATTGAAAAGGCTGATTTTTTGCCACCCCAGTTCTAATTTGACACATCTGGGGGGAGCCTGGGACTGGGTACCCTTAATGAGAATTGCAGGTGATTTAATGCAAGTGGCTGAGACCAGACTTTCAGAAACATTGGGCTTGAGGCTTGCCTCCAACTTGCTGGATCTTACCTTCACTTTCCCAACATGCAATTTCTGTTCTAAGCAAACATCTGGCGGCTGCATGATGTAGTTCCTATAGTAACTTCTCTGGGTTCACACATAGTGGGGCTTGATTAGAGGAGAGGGGAGCCACAGCTGGTCCAGGCTGTGTTCTCAATGCAGATCTGAGACATGGAGGTCCAAGGAGTTCTGCTCTGAGAATGGCCAGGCTGACTGGGGACTGGATTCCTAGCTCCCAGCCCTTCCTAATCAACAACTGGACACCAGTACCTTCCAACCCCATCAGCCAAGACCTGAGTAGAGATGCATCCGGCAAGCTCATCCTCTGGCTGGTTTCCACCTCCCACCAGAGCAGTGTTTGTGAACCTGCAGACTCACTGGGATTTCAGGGTTAAATCCACACCACTGTTCCTCCCTTGTTTTGGAAAAGCACAGGCTGTCAAATGTAAATGTATTCTTGCTGCCTTGTCAGATCCCCTTGGAAAACGAGCCCAGGTCTTTCTCTCCCAAGGGCTGGCAGTTTTTCAGAATCAACACTGGATGGAGCGACTGTTTGGATGGAGGCCTCTCATTTCCAGGCTTCTTTAGAGATTGAAAGGTTATGGCTGGGGTTGAAGGGTATCTGGGAGTCGGAGGGTCTGTGCATTTAAAAACAACATCATGGGGGCGCCTGGATGGCTCAGCTGGTTGACTGTCTGGCTGTTGATTTCGGCTCAGGTCATGATCTCAGCATCCTGAGGTCGAGCCCCAAGTTGTGCTCCACACTGGGAGCTTGGAGCCTGCTTGAGATTCTCTGTCCCCTCTCCCCCTGCTCGCTCGCTCTCTCAAAAAAAAAAGGGGGGGGGAGAAAGGTAATGGAAAACAACATCACGCATTTAATGATTAAACAGAGTCCTGGATGTGTTTCACGTGCAGTTTCATGTAATTCTTACTGCTCCCCTAGAGGTGCGTCTCTTTATGTCTTATAAATGAGGATATGGGCTCAGGGAGGTTGTTGCCTCTGCTTTAGTGCACACAGCTGTGGATGGCAAAGCCAGCATTTAAACCTGGGAGCTTTGACTTCAGACTCCCGGATCCAGTGCTTATTTAATCATTTATTTTTATTTTTTTATGTTTTTATTTAATCATTTTTTATGGAGTGTTCATTCTGTGCTGGGCAGTGGTCTGATTCACAGCCCACTGGTGGGGCATCCTCGGGTTGCTGGCCTCTCGGACTCTGATGTGGGAATTTACTTAGACTTTTAATGCTGGCTGTTCCCAGGCATCCCCTTGGATTGGTAGCTGCATCCAAGGGGTTACCTGCTCTCCATGGGTGCCAGGCCTGGGCGGTAAAATCTCACTCGTAAAGCCCCTCTGTACCTGCCTCTCCCTTTCCCGTGTGTCCTCCTGGTGGCCAGTGCCATTGACTGTCTCCCCTAGCAGGGTGAGGAGGAGACTGCTAATGGCTTTGGGGCAAAGAATAATATAAGTATTAGTGACATAGTTATGACTTGCATTTTGTAGGAGATTTATTTTATTTGCATAGGGGTTTCCCATACAAAGAATTTGCTTCGTATAGAAACAGAAATGTTCATTTCTCAGATGAAAACAGATGGAGGGGCACCCGGGTGGCTCAGTCAGTTAAGAGTCTGCCTTCGGCTTAGGTCATGATCCTGGGGGTCCTGGGATGGAGCCCCATCGGGCACCCTGTTCCGTGGGGAGCCTGCATTTCCCTCCCCCTCTACTTGCTGCTCTCCCTGCTTGTGCTCTCTCTGTCTCTGTCAAATGAATAAATAAAATCTTAAAAAAAAAAAGACAACAATTGGAGATCAGAGGCATTAACTCAGCTAGACTCAGAGAACCGCTGGGACGATATGCTTCTAGCTGATATTTAGTGAGCACTTACTATGAGCCATGGAGCCGCCGCCCCATTCGATCCTCGTGCCCCACTGCTGTTGTCACCTGGTCCATGGTCCCTCCTCTTGGTGCCGCAGTAGTTGCCCCTCTGTCTACACAACACTCATCGCCCAGCCTGTTCCCCGAGACCACGTGCATGGCACAGACTGTCACAATGGAAAGCCCCTTAGCTCACCTGGCACAACCTCATTTTACAGATGAGGAAATGCAGTGTAGGGGAAAGTCGCTGACTCAGGGTCACCTTGCTAGGTGAGGACAGAACCGGGACTCATCCCTCATTGCCTGGCTTCCAGTTAGTTCCATTCCTCTATTGCTGCTTCATAGACTACCTGAAGACAAAGGGGCTTTCAACAACATCTGTTTATTTGTGGGCCAGGCTTTGGGCCGGGCCAGGCGGGGCTGGGCTGTTCTTACATCCCATGTGGTGTTGACTGGTTCACTCATTTGGCTTCATTCAGCTGTGGCTGGGCTGGAAGGTCCTAGAAGGTGTTGCTCACATGGCTGGTCCTCCGTGCAGTGGTTCTCTCCACGGGGTGGCCTGGATGTTCTCATAGCACGATGGCCCTTCTACGTGGCATCTGGCTCTCAAGAGGGAGTGCTCCAAGCAGTGGAGGCAGAAACTCTTCAGGCCTGGCCCCCGAAGTTATACAGGGTCATTTTTGTGACCACAGGCCACAGGCCGGCTCAGATTCAAGGGGAGAAGTGGGCTTCATTCCCGAGGTGGACTCTTACGGTCGCATCGCATGGGTGCACCCGGGGTGGGAGAGGTTGCCAAAGCTGCCTTTGGGTCACGGTCTGCTACAGAATTTTGTGTTCTTTCCCCTCTGCTTATACCTCCTGCGGTGCTATTGAATGTTTTTCCAGAACCTTATCTCCTGCTTCTGCGTAGGACCCCCTTCCCTAGCATCAGGTACCTGCATACCAGCAATGACAGGTGGTTTGTCAAGTGGAAGAAAGTACCACCTGTAGAAGGTCTGGGAGCAGTAAGGAAAATGCCATATTGTGGGGTGATTTTGCAGCTGGGGAGCCCTTGGTCAGGTCTGAACTCAGTTCTCTGGCCTTCTTTCCTGCCTTGCTAAATGGCTTCACTCGATGGTATTTTTCCGTGATGTGATGTTCGAGATTGCAGTCACCCGGACAGCAGGCTGCTGGTGGCCGCCTCTTGAGCTCACTGTCGTGAGGCCTTCCAGATTAGGACATTACATTATTGGCTCACCATAAATGGGGTGCTCTGACTCATACTCGAGCCTGTAGCGTGGTGAGGAGCTCTCACCCCGA